GGTAAATGTCGCTGTAGCATAACATACTTTATCCTCCTCCTGTACGTAAACAATCCTGAATACTTTTTTAGTGTTTTCGACCCATTGCATTGCAAGTACTGGGTCCGTCTGTCCTGAGAACTCTGTAGCGCCACTACTTCTAAATGTTTTAAATGAAGGTCGGTCCGACTTTGGTTTGGTTACATCTTCATTAACCGGCTTCGGTCCTTGGACAATCGGATTCTAAGCATTAACTGGATTTTGTACTTCAGATAACTTTCTTTCAAACTTTATTCTTTGTTCTCGTAGAGCAGCCCGTGTTTGGTCATTCATTATTTTCAGTAACCTCTCAGTACGAGGTGATAGTTGGGCTTCATCGTCATTGTCCACATTTTCTTAGACATTCCCTTCTAGTTGAGGTTTTCATCCCCAATTTCTTGAGAAACATGCATCATGTTCAGACATCGTATTGAAATTATAATACATATATATAGGGGTGTCAAATAATATTCTATCCCTTGTACCCCAACAAATCCTAGGTCTCTCCTATTGGTCCATATCCCATATAATCATAACCTAGTCATTATACAATGTCAATACCTAAGTTTGAATCCGAATATCATTAATGATATCCAGTTCACTCAAACCACAGCTCTGATACAATATCTATAACATCTCGCTTGAGCAAACCCCTAAATTACCAATTCTTATAAAATCTCCAATAAAATATAATTTATTGATTATTGTGACCAAAATTGATCCTAATTATTCTAAAAGTTTTGTTAAAGCCATCGGGGCCAACGATGGAAAATCTGAAATTTCTGCTAAGAAAAACTAAGTCTAGAGGAAGACCAGAGGCAATAGATGGACCAGAGGCAATGGATGGACCAGAGGCAATGGTTGGACCAGAGACAATGGTTGGACCAGAGGCGAGGCTATGAAGGACAAGAGGCAATGATTGGACCAGAGGCAATGGTTGGACCAGAAGTAATGGTTGCATTGGTCCAGAGCCGATGCAATGGTCCAGAGACTATGAAAAACCAGAGGCTATGAAGAAACAGAGGCCAACACTTTGAAACACACAAATCTGGGCATAACATTAATTAACCTCAAAATATGGGATATTAATTTCTAGAAAAAACATCGAAATATCCGTTATATTTTAGTGATAAAACCACCCAAAGCATAATTCCAAACCGGATATAACGGATTTTTACTTACAACCCAAATTAAGTAGCCAAAAGAATACGGGACAAGACTATATATATAAGCTACTATTTACCCAAAAGCAAGATCGATATCTTCAAGTTCCCCGATAAATCTTCAAGTCAAACAACGGGTTCTTTCTATTTATCCGTCTTCTTTCCTGAGAGAGGTTGCCACTTAAATGGTAAGCCAACGCTTAGTGAGTTAAATAGTTAAGTATTACATATCAATATCACACATGTTTACAAACATACATAATAAACTCTTATCAATAAAAGAGTTCAAGATGTCATCCAGAGGTGAACCGAGACTTACAAGGAACCGAGTGAACAATTACGTACTGGATGCCAAGATCACAGGATTCCATATTCAAATCACCATAATATACCATACCATTGATTCTCAATACAACAAGGAGACAGGATCAACGACCAAATATATTCAACAACGTTAGAAAACCAATAATTATCAAGAAACAAGAGATCGAATCGATAAACATAACGAAGACAGTGCATCACCCCGTCCTTCACCTCCCGGGCTCATGCCAAAGTCCGAGTCAGAAATCATACATTATGGAAAACCTCGTACTGCCCGCCTTCCTCTACCGGGTATGTGCCAAGGTTCCCTACTCATTGCTCTTCCTCCTCTTCGAGCAATGAGTATTCACAACCGCAAAAAGTCTCACCTGTCCAACCCGGGATCTTGACTTCACCATAAACTTCCGGTGTACCACACGAAGTAGTACCCGTACTATGGCGTACAATTCAAGGAACAAAACAACGAGTCTGGATTCAGAAAGCAAACCGATGTACTAAGATAGTAATATAGAATTAACTCAATAGACGAAATCAAGGACAAATCAAGATCGTGTGACTCCATTCAAGACCAAAAACATTCATATGAAAATATATATGTTCAAATCAATATGTAACAATTAGCTATATAACTCACCGGGCAACCGTATAATACCAAAAAGCTTCGAATTGAGCTCACAAAGCAAGTCCAATCTACCACACTTAGATTGCTTCCAAAGTATCAAAATATGTCTTAATTACCCCCTGGAGTAAATGTACAAAATCTCATAAGCAACCAATATAAGAAACTCGTGATATATACATATCCTATTTGAACACTTTATCTAAATTTCTATGTACAGCTGATGCATGCAGAACTGTTTTGCCCATTTTAAGCTCGAATTCATGCCTTGATCATAAAACAAGAAATAAACTAGACTCAATTATCTAGCTAAGGAAATTGGCCTTACCTCATTTGGATTTTTCTATGATTTATACAGATTTTCAAAGTCTGCACACTTTCAATGCATTCAAAAGTCGAAATTCTCATTTTCATACATTTTCCTCAAACCATTTCGATTCCAAACTATTCCAACTTCTGAATCTCAACTTAATATAACATATTTGACATAAACAACCAAAATCCAACCTTTATTTTATCATTTATATTATTTCCCAAATCATTGACTTAATCAAGCCAAAGTTCATATGAGGAACTTGCATAAATCTTGATAATCTTTTGAATCTAATGACCATTTCCTTCTATAAACACTAAAAAGCACTCATTTTATACACTTAAGATCAAACCCATATGAAACCCTAACTCTATCTCAACATGCAATCCATAAAACAAGAATGTCAACCAAGAACAAGTGCAAAAATAGATTATACCTTAC